AGAGTTCTGTGGCATCATAGCTCACAGTAACCTCAAACTCTTGGGCTCAAGTGATCCTCTTGGCTCAGCCTCCCATGTAGATGGGACTATAGATGCCTGCCACAATCCCCCGTCCCCACTATTTTTCAGAGACGGGGTTTTGTGCTTGTTTAGGCTGGTCTCAAACTTCTGAGCTCAAGCAGTCCTCTTGCCTCTGCCTCCCAGAGTGCTAGGATTATAGGTGTGAGCCACTGCTCCCAGCCTAGTGATTTTGATTTTTAAATGCAGTATTCAAAGATGACCGTTTGTTAGTTATGAAGACTGTGTTACATGCAGGTATATCCATGCATGTATATACCTTTTTCTCTCTTTGCTAGGAATTTCACATAGCTGCCTTTTGATTATCAACCCTTGGCCATAAACAAGAAACGTACGATTCTCCGATACTCTTCCCACTGTTGTCTGTCCCTGCCATAAAAATCACTAGTGTTTCTTTAAAAGTCCCTAGTCATGTCTGGAGAAAAAAGAAAAGATTATTAAATATTTTTGTTTGTTTTGTTAATCAGGCAGGCCAGTTTCAAGGTTCAAACTCATCATCCCTGTTGTGCTCCCTGGTGGTGGTGGGGGCAGCGTGCTAAACACTGAGCTATGGCAAATAGTTAGAAAAGATTATTTTTATCTCTAAAATACTGGTAGTCATTTTTTGACATTTCCAGAACCCGAGAATATAGTCGGAAATCTAATTTTTTTCTCAGTTAGAATTTCTGATAATATCATTCGATGGAAGGAATAGGAAGCTGAATTTAGTCACACTGTGTTTAGCAAGTCTCTGTAGAATCATGACATATCTAATAACTAGATTGGATTTCTAAGGTTATGGATTAATAGTCTAAGCAACTGACTGGAAAAAAAAATGACCTTGTAAACACAACCTGTTAGTAACAGCTATTTTTAATTTAGGTGATCTTTATTTCTTAATGATTGCCAGACATGGCATTTATTGTGTGTCAGGCACTGCACTAAGGCCTTTACATGTATTAATCATTTAATCCTTATAGCAGCCCTATGAGGTAGGTGATACTATTTCACAGATGAGGAAACCAAGGCACAGAGATGGAGTAACTTTGTGTGACTAACTTGCCCTAAGATCTCACAGCTAATAAGTGGTGGGGTGGAGTTCAAATTAAAAAGCAACC